CTTGCTTCACACAAGTATTGATCCTTAATTTTCTTACAGTTGTCCAATTCGGTTCGCGTCATCCTGATGAATTTTGATTGATTGATTGCATTTCGTGATTGATTTCGCAATTTTTGATTGCATTTCGTGTCCCACTATTGCGTAGTTTTCTTCCGCCTTTATATAAGCGTACGTACCATTTTTCATGTGGACAGGCAGAGAGTGTATTCTGTTTACGTGGTACTCTTGGGATGATGTCAGCGGTATATCATTCCAGAGCTATTGTAACGATGGAGTTACCTTCACTATAGGTCTCTATTTCTGAAATTTCCTTGAGGTATCTTGGGTTTTCGGGTATCAAGGCTATTGGATAGTTTAACCCTTGAGGTAAGTGTTCTAGAGATTCTTTCAGTAGTTTCATTATTTTTGGATATGATACTATTCCTGGATATAAGATTCCTTTTTGGATTTCTACCAGATATTCTACAAGATCCTGGACACATCCATGGAACATTTCGATGTATAACGAGAGGATAATAAAATGTTCATCGAGTTCTTCTCGGAAAGATTCCAATCTTAATCCTTCGTCCATTTGTTGTTTAATATGAGATGTGAGGTTGAACAGCATCATCTCGTTGTGTTTAGCGTTAGCTGCGGTTTCGTTTATCATCCGCAAATTTGCTTTGGTGATCTGCACCTGATTTTTTAAAGCAGTTTTTAATGCGCTTCCTTCTTTATTAAGAGCCGTTATTTGCTCATTTATCAGTTTCGCATCTTCGGCATCCATTGTACCGAACAAGGATTTGGCTAAAGATCCTAGTCCTTCAATTAGTCCTCTTTTCCTTTTTGATGGTGGATCGAGTGTGGTTTCCTTAACGTATTCTAATTTGGCATCTATTTCCTGAAGACGAGCCTTAGAAGAAGTGCTGAAAGCCTTGCATATTCTTTGCAATTCTAGAGTGGTTGTTCCACACATTTTTTTAGTTTTCGATAAGTAATGCTTGATGGTAGCCTCTCTTTCAAATATGGGGCTTAGGTCACTGTGAATGACCAACTTCCAAGTATCCTTATAGTTCACGAGGTTTCCCATTTTTTCGAAGTATATCCCTGGAGTAGTATCGAATTCTCTTATCGTCAACTGCTGAGCTGGTTCTAGCCTCAAATATATTATAAATATATTTTTTTTTGTCTAAATAAATTTTATTGTTTTAATTTATCTATGTTGTTTTTGTCCTCACTCCAATCCTCTACACACCTCTTCCTTTAACTTAAGCGAGGAAATGCTTAAGGCGGTTCACATGAACCTTTAGTAGTTTCTTATTCACTTTTATAGTGTAGTTTACTTTAGAGTTCTTTTCTAGTATTTCATAGGGTCCTGTCCATTTAGCAGAGAGCTTTTTGGAACGTCCTCTTCGTAATGCCTCATCGTATAGTAGGACTTTATCGCCGACTTTGAATTCGTTGATTTTGGTCTTTTTGTCGTAGTAGTCCTTGGATTTTTCCTTAGCGACAATGAGATTATCTCTAGCAACTTGATTTGCGG